CGTAAATGACAGCGGAAATGCTTGACAAATTCGATGCCTTCGCCGTGCTTTTTCTTCCAGAACTTCAGATGCCCATCAATGCTCGCTGTTATTATAAAATCCGTACTGGAAAATTTTTTTTTTGTTAAAAAAAACCTCAGTGGCAAACAATAAAAGCCCATATCCAGGTGATGGTCGCTGGAAATCGAAAAGAGGCAAAACGAAAAATAATTTCGACGGCGCGTGAAAAAAGAATAGTGAAGTCCACAGAGTGCAGAGTGATTTCTTGCTTGTTCGAATAATCTGATAAAACAAGTAAATTTTATAAAAAATTTCATGCCAGTGCAATTTGTGATGCTATTATCAATCGAAATGCTTCTGCTGCTAAATTTTTTCAAAGAAAAATTAAGATTTCTAATTACTGGCAAGGCAGTTTTGTCCGAATTTCTGTCCGCATACCCGAATTTCAGTCACATTTCTAGCAAGTATCTTATTATTTCATCTATTGTGTTACTTTCATTGGGATGTGTGCTTTCAGAAATTCATAGAACGCAAAAAAATAATTAAACAAATAAAATCTCTCCGCAGGGTTTCTCTACGCAAGACGAAAGTACTCCGTAGCGCCCCTCAGTGACAGCACATTAATAGTCCCCCTAAGATTTCAGCTTTCTAGCTTCCCAGATCCCCGAGTTATGAACTTACCCGAAAAAAAATTTTAACGGGCCTGTACGCGGATACCACGCTTACCCGAGGGCTGGGTTTGAGCTCACTAATACCGCCAATCACCCGCTGCCAGCGCTCTCTATAGATCCCTATGGGGACGGCCTGCAGTCAAGCTGATGGCGGTTTTTTCACCTCCAGCAGCACTCTATCATCGAAACGGATGAACGGGTTGTTGTGGGCTGGTGAAGTGGAATCCCCGATCCTTAGCATCTCGAGAAAGCAGCGCCACCTGTTACTACTGCGCCCGAACTTGTCAACCAAAAATTTCGGCATAAAAAGAATGAGAAGCAGGAAGAAGAGCGCTTACATTGTGGCAATAACATGAGTGATAGTGTCGCGATGCATAAACGATTTCTCATATTGCATGGCATGTGGAATTGCACGCAAATAGGTCTTCTCAAATGGAAGTGCTGCAATTTCAAACGACCATTATCGGTATAAAAGAACAACAGGATTGTACGCAGGCGTCATGTGTAAGGTGTTATTTTGTGGTGCAAATTGCCTTTATCTTTTAGACGCAGTGGGGTGATATTTTTCGATGCAGTCTCTCTGTTTCATCCCTTAGCTGTAAACATACAGACCGGACTTGATCAGCCAGGCATCTAATTTACACATGAACCTTCGGAATCTTCACCGGGGAACAAAATGAAAAAAGAAGCTACCATAAAAAGTGCACAAAATTTTGGTATGCTGAAACTCAGACGGACTTCAACGATATCAACTCCGAGTGATCCAGAAAATTCAAAGCAAGCAAGATCGTCTGGCTAGGAAGCGAAATACCACGGTGCGCTTACTTTTGCTCTTTTTGCGGCCACTGTCTCCGCCATCGGCAGGCAAACTGGCGCCAATCTCGGCCTCATCGAGCTGCCGCTTCGACATGCTGAAACCACAGAACTCATCAACAGGCCAACAAATTGTACGCAAATTAAGCATTCCCCAGAATCAGTGAAACTTAATATACGTAGTAAACTGTATCACAGTTGGAAAGATAAGTCGTGGTGCCGGAATGCCAGCACTCAAGGCAAGCTGGCGTCGCCCCGAGAACTAGCTAAACGGCTAAGGCCCTGCCAAATGCTTCTTCCGGGAGAACTAGCTAAGCTATCATCGGTAGCCAACGAGACGGAATTTAGCACCCAAAGCTGGAACGAATAGATTTATTCCCAGCATAACTTTCGCAGATGACGTGAAGCTTGAATGACCCGGAAAGTAGCAAAGGAAACCCTCCAGTTCTGGCATTTCCCAAGCGAAAAGTGAACCTGTAGAAATGAAAACTCCCACAGTCCCATATCTCCTCTCCGGGCAACCCAAGACAAATGTACTTCAGCGAGTATGTACTGCGCCACCGAGCCTAACTAAATTCCCGTATTCGCGGAAAATTGCAATCGCAAAAGCTCGGCTCGGCTCGGTTCGGCTGATGATCGATGGTGTTTGGAAAGCACTCTAACATCTCTGCCAACACTACTTCGCGGCGCTGCTCGCTGGAACTTTGCCAGACTCGCTGGGGCGCAGTGCTCAGCGTCTGGTGGCTGCATTGCGAGGCCGGGGGATGATCGGTGGGAAAGTTGGGCGTAGTTGGTGGGTATTGGTTGGTAGTTGCCTACATACAGCTTAGAGAGCATGATTGAGGCTAGGAAAGTGGGGAGGTCAGGACGATGTACGGTGATGGTGGTTGGAGGTGATGGGT